TTAGAAGGAGCCCGGTAATCAAACGGTCATTTAGGTCACTTTAAAGTCAGCATAGCAGTTTACTTTCGAAGCAATAGCAACTGATGAAATGCTTACCAGAATTCTGTGGTCTTACATCCTTCATAACCGAAAACGCCTCGAGGCGTGTTTGACTATGCACAAGTACTAAAGCAGAAATGTTATATTTCACATTATGCGGCATAATCCCGAAATATTTCAGACACGCCCGGACGTTGGCGTCTGAGTACACTTCTTCTCCCCAGGTTGCAAAAACCACACTGCGTGAAAACTGATAACTTAAATAGTCAACTTATTTTTCTTTTGAGTTTCAATGCAAGTATAAGTTCAAATTTATCGATTTCGAAAAACCTGTCCCAAAATAGTGTTTCTTGTACTAAAAGGAAGTGCGCATTTGGGCCTTCAACAATTTTTTGACCCTCAAATAATTTTGAGCCTGTTCTGCCACTGCATTTGTCCTCCCGACTTTCCGTCTACAAACTGTTTAATTTGTATGCAAGAAAAATAATAAATTTGTTTATAGGATTAAAAAAGGTATCATACAGTGCGTATCACAGTTTGCACTTAATAAGAGCTATGTTATATAATTTAGGAGGAGCGCTAATAAAAGGACAAATACGATGTTCTTGGAATGGAAACTTCACGGTCTTGAAACTTCTCACAATTAGAAGTTTTTGTAATATTTTAAGATTGCATTTCGGTGAGTAGAATTTTGAAGGAAATATGACTACTGGCTATCGAATGAGTGCAACGGTAGCTATTTTTGTGTACGTTTTCCATAAAGCACCGAAAATCAACAGAAAACATGCATGCGACTTGCGTGTTCATCTTTTACCTAGTGTATCTTTTGCAGGCAATTGCAGAGAGGAGCGTTCAGAAGCCAGAATTCTGGCGTGTCCGAAATATTATGCGATAACGCAATTAAATGATTGTGTTAAAAGCCCACCTAATTAACCCTTGCTAATCAAAAATTCATGTCAAAATGTCGGGTTAAAATTTAACCATATCGGTCACTGACTGTAGGAGAGAAAGAAATATGGGTAAACATACGCATAAATCATTGGTAAGAGGACACTCCAGAGGTAGCATTTAGCGCCTCTGCCTGACCCCGGCGAA